GCCTCGTCCTCATTTTCTGGTTACGTGCTGGAGTTTTGCGCTAGTGCTGGCCGACATGCCCCCTTTGATAAGTCTGAGTTGCGACGCTGCCAACATCTACAGTAAAACAAAACAAAAACAAAAGCAGAGTAGGTGTTCGGTGCATCTTTTTTTTTTTTTCTGGCATCCTTTGTACGTTCTGTTCGTGGTATGTAGGCACGGGGACGTTGATCAAGCAACCCACCGTGGCAGCATAGCACGTGTTGTGTCGCGCTGCTATTCCTGAGGGCGCGGGATAGATTAGCGACCATGGCGGCCGCACTTCGATAGGGGTGAAATATAAAAAGAGCACCCGTGAACCAAGACATATGTGCTCATTGGATACCCCTAAGTGGTCACAATCTTGACACGCTCACTACAGCGCACCTCAACATGATAAAAGCCTAGCAATATCCGATGTTAAGCAGAAACCTTCATTTAAGGCCTACACATGCAAGAGAAAAAAACTGAAACTGTGTGTTAGGGGAACTAAACAAACGAGGAAAAATCGAAGACGTTTCATTCTTCTGTAGCAAGGCATACATCCCCATGTTACATAGCCACGGCAGCCAGTGAGAAAAACGCTTACAGCATCGGCTCCAGAAAGTTAAGCTTCGAGTAGTCCGCTGCTTTGTTTGTGACAACAACATTGTCTTTTGCACCAACTTAGTTAAACAATGGCATCTCAGCATCGAGTGTTGACCGCGAGAGTGTATTTTATAACAGCTCGGGGGCGTAGTTGAATGTAGCCTCGCACAAGTGTTGTTGACAAGGCAGCTTTACTTAACACGCCACCACTTAAAAAAATAAAAACAAAAGACTACCTGCCTATCGTATCATTCACTTTACGCGGTGTCATCCGATTGAGTTTGGTGGGGTGGTCAGATAGATGGACGCGTGGAAACATTGCTAGTCCTAAAGTGCACGACTCAGCGCTCAGCGGGCCAGATAAAGAAGTTTACATAAGCTACATGTTGCATAATACGCTCGTTTCATTTCCGGCACAACGCCATTTGAACTCGACTGTTTGGCCCGGCTTTCTACTGATGGCTGTGTTGACTATCGAATAAATATAGCATAAACGCGCCATTCGGTCTAGAAACGAGCCCAACAGCGCCATAGACAAGAGAGCGAGAGCAGAATTTTGTTCGCCTGACCGCTTGGATGCAACGCCACCTCGTCTTCCTACGTCCACCTTTCCCTCTATACGCCCTACCTCTCTTTATATATTGTTGCACTTGAATACGCAGCAGTACCACCAGCGCCCTTTGCTTTTGTTACGGCAATGTGCGCGCGCACCGCCTCTACCAGCCGCCACTCTCGTCTGCGGGAGCAGCTGAGAAGTGCGCACTCTCGCCGCCAGGGTGCTCGTGGGAATTCCAGCGCTGCTTCCCTATAACGGTCAGCAATTAAGAAAAATTTCAAATTCGTGTCATGTAGGGCAAATACTTGATGTCGCTAGTGCTTCCGGTTGTGACGTCATATCCTATTCTTCATTTTTTGTTTACTGTTAGTTGTCCCCTCCATACGTAGATGGTGACGGTGGCAACAAGCCATAGAGTTAGTATGCAACAAGCCGCCAACTACTGCATATATGCGATTCGCTTCTATGGAACTTTCGCTACCAGTTTACATATACCTTGGAAGTACAATGTCCTCTACATTTAAATGAAACTGATACTTATATTGAGGCGTGTTCCACATGTACATTTGACCCACAGCTACATATTAAAAAAAGTAGGGCAATCAGCTATCCCAGCATGGAGTTTAACACTAAAAGCGTGTTTACCTCGGGGTTCAATACTTTATTGACAAAAAAAACAAGGGATACGAACAAAACGCTTGGGCCTGCTGCCAGTTATGTAAGGGTATATAACAAGAACATATTAGAGACGGTTCTACGAAGAGGCCGGCCAATATAACCTCCAACCCCGTGTTGATCATAGCAAAGGGGTGACCCTTCATACGTCGGATGACACTTCGAACATAACATTTCTCGGTACCATCTGGTGGTGAATGTAGCGTCAATCGTCTCCTAAATGCTCCGACTGCGTGCGTGTTGGTTGTTTAGGGATTAAAACAGTAAAAATATTTTTATTTGGGGTTTAACGTCGCAAAAATGCCATATGGAAGAAGGACAAGGACAGCAAGGGAGAAGGCAGGGAGGTTAACCAGGCACATGCCTGGTTTGCTACCCTACGCTGGGGGAATGGGAAGGGGGAATGTCAAGATCAGAGAGAGAGCAAAGAGAAGAGTGACGAAGGAAATTGTCAGTCAATGGGCTGACGCGTATGCAGCGGTGGCACTGCACAAGCGTTAAAGCGTTCACATAGGTCCATTGTCCTCAAGAACCGAAAGGGGGCTTTGACTGCCTTTTGAGCCGATGAAGGACGAGGACTGCCCGCCTCTATTGAAATGAAAGAGGAGTTACCCCTGATCTCTCCAATATTTTATTCTTTTCGGGTTTTTCAATCGGTAACGATACTTCAAAAATGTTTGCTATGTAGTAGAATGGGACACAAGCGAACAGAAGGCTCTTCGATTCGAACTTCTAAATTTTTCTAATTTTCGCACGCTCACAGAAGGCAGCCACGAGGATAACCTATCATCGTGTCTCCCCTGCCGGCGCATGTGCAGTCTCCCCTTGCCTCAACGTCTCACTCGTCTCAATACCATACCTCATTCTGTCGTTCGGCGCGTATAAAAGCTGCACTTCCTTGCATGCATCATTTCGATGTTGCAACGCACCGCACGCAATGCGCGATGGTGTTTTATCACAGTTCTACTTTATGCGGAACATCACGGCGACGTCGCACAGCAAGTGAAGAGAAGGAGGAAGAAGAGGAAAAGAAAGGCAGAAAGATAGAAAGTGCTTATTCTTTTCTCCGGTGAACGCGAAACAGTTCGTTCATGAATATGTTCTTTTCTTGTTATTCATTTGTATATACGTACACATTTGTATTTTTGTATGTGTTGCTCACCTGTATTCATTAGGCTTATTGTGTATTTATATGGTCAGCTTGCTATCCTCTTTGCCAGGACACAAACAGTAATTTCGTCAAGGTATCTTGGCGTAGCTTTTTTTTGTTCCCGTCCAAGCGTTTCCCACTTCCCTTTCTGAAACGATTAAATGGGAAATAAAGAAGCCGAATCTGGAGTGCACATTGACGACAATCTAATTCACTTCAATTTGTAGTACTATTCGTTTACCAGAATTTCATCTGTAATGTCTTGAGACGATGGGTTGGCACTTTGAGGGACTACGCACTCAAACTCACTCTCCACAATTTTCACAGCCTTCGCACTCACCGATGGCCAATCTTACGCCTACTCGCCCGAGTAATGAGAGCTCACTCATGTTCACACTCACGTTCACTCACACTCATGACTACTCTCTGACACTCATAGTCACCACGTTCAAATGAGTGTGAGTGGTGGGCGTACTCATGAGTGAATGTGCAGAGATATGCACGAGACTGTTGACACACTAGCGCTCTCGCCACGTCTGGATGGTGCGCGAAGACGCAGGCATTTATTTATTTATTTTATTTATACTCTCAGCCAGAGGATCATACAGAAATGGGCATAGAAACAGCACTGCCAAAGCATCCGATGTAAACGACAAAACACAAAGAACAAAATAGACACTGTGTCAGTAAAGAAAATAATTAAAGTAAAAGGAAACAAAGGAAGAATCCACAGTGGGCGTTTCATGAAAAGCCACCTAACACAATGGGGACAAATAAACAATTCAGTGAGCCACACTCGTGCACACACGTACACACTCAATAATATGGCATTCGAAATAGTATGTGCATCACAATGAGCGAATGAAACAAGAAAAAGAAATGTTATATGTACAGGAAAAGAAAATAAAACTGATTTCGCTGATGAACATAGAATTTTTCAGGATTCTCAACTCTAAAAGGGTAGGAGGCAAGTTTTACTCAATGCCTCAGCCCCTTTATTAAAGTCCGAACGAAAACAAGCTTTGAATGTAGCAATAAAAATTGAGCGATGCTGAGTTTCTCACGTGGAGCTTGGTTACCGGCATCCCGGCGCCAAAGCTGGAAGTTAAAATCAGTCCTTCGAAATTAACATCCAGGTTACCCGAATGCCAATATAGTCAAATACCTACGCAGCTATAATCCTTTAAGCAAAGGTGGAACAGGTCCACCCTAGTGGGGCCTACTTGGCGCACTCCTTCGGTGACCAGGAAAAGGGGGGAGGTTCACCTTTCTGTCCCCACGTGCGCACGCCTATAATAATGTTATTTGACTAGGCTTAACGTCCTAAAACCTCGATATGTTTATGAGGGAGGGGAGGGCTCCGGAAATTTCGACCAGCTGAAGTTTAATAATTAAAGTGCACCGACCTTGCACCATGCACAGCACTTCGTCTCCATAGAAATGCGACCGGCGTGGCCGGCATCGAACCCACGACCTTATGGTCAACAGCAGAACGTCTCACCACTGCACAACCACGGTGGCTACAAGCCGATGACGATGAGCCATATTTTGCTCTGGCCTTAAACTGGCCCTTGTTAGAGTTACGTTTTACAGAGGACTTCGGGAAATGGGACACGCGGCACATTGAGGACACGAGGTACTTGTAAAAATGCAGATACGGTACTTTCACAATTCTTCGCTCGTGGCACTAGTTGTACGGTTAGGCATTCGCGTTTGGGCCGGAAGGCGAGGCGGAGTAACATGAAATGCGCAATGGTAAAACAAATGAGAGGGGGAAAAAAACCTGCATGAAAACGAAAGTGGGGAACCCCGAGCACGAGTGAATGACTGACTGACTGAGTGGCGGAATACGTGAGGCGCGAGTGAATCCCTCTTCGCAGCGTCCTTGCAGTTTTTTTTCGTGTCGCATGTAAGTGCACAGCGCGCGGAAGAGCCGCTTGCGCAACTCCAGCAGGGGCCGGACCAGCGTGGCGCGTGAACGAGGAGTGACTGCTCGCCTTGAAGAGAGGCGTATATAAAGGATACCGGCAACCAGGCACACACACACCAGTCCTGGTACGGAACTTCTCCTCTTGAGCATTTGCGGAGCGTCGCAGATCCTGACACCATGATCAAGATTCTGGTTAGTACACGCGGATTTGTCTCGCTGCTTTTGTCATAGTTTTTCTTCTGTTTCCATCTCTTGTTTACGGAATTTAGTGCTTCATGTTGCTACTGGAATCTGATCTTTAGGGTGAAGTGTTGGCGCAGGCAAGGGAACGTGAGCTACACTCCTAGCGTTTAGCTTCTCTCTTTAAAGAAAGCCTCGGCACTTTTTCAGAAGATAGATGGGCCCATGAAAGTATGTATATTATTTTCCATTTCCAATCGTTTGTATTACAGCGCTGCTGTGTATTCCGCCTCGCGTTAGGGCCAACTTCATGCTGTTTCTAGCATTGCTGTAGTTTGCTTAACGTGTTGGTCCGTACGAAAGCCTCGTATTTGTGCGGAATCACCAGGTAATTGTAGCAGCTCAAGGCGTCTTTTTCAAATCAACTTTCTTTGGAACAGCATCGAGTGTTCAAGTTACCCGTTTAGGAATTACCACGTCAAATCATAGCTACTTTGTACGGCTGAATCCGATCCCTCAGCTACCAGCCTGAGGCATACGACAGTGAAAATGGTTCTTTTGTGCTAACACAACCAAATAAGGCCTCTTTGTGTGTACAAACAATTACAACTGCCAAAATTCACCATTTGTGCTTGTCGATCATTTTAGTACCACGGGGGAACTCGCATGTAGTGAATGGATGGGAACCGCTACTCGCTGATAAGTGCCTCTACACCAAGGAAACAGTATTTATGAAAGGGTATAAATGTTGTGCGCATGTTCGTCATGTAACTTGAATTATTCGTCCGACCAAACGTGTTGCTCTCTTCGCAGATCCTGCTTGCTCTGCTGGCCCTTTTCGCCGTCTCCTATACTGTGGCGAAACCACAGTATGTTCTTACGTACGGTTACCCGTACCACTATGGATACTACGGTGCCTACTACCCCCACTACTTCTACGGGCGCTGAACCCACACGAAGGCGAGGGCAGCGACAGTTTGCGGTAAGCTATGAGACGGAATCATATCATTAGAAGCTTCACATTAGGTAGGCCGCTTATAACTGAAATTTCAAAGCAGACATCAACTTGAAAACGTATTGTTGGGCTAGATAGTCCGCTCGATGATCATACAGCAACAGTGCATTTGATCAAACGGGAACTCCGTCATCCTAATGCCTTTTTTTCCCTCTTCATTGCTTTCTCGCCCCATTCGGAATACGTTCAGTCTCGTCAGGTATGAAGGCGTAAAATGAATTCAAATGATCGTAGCTAGGCGGTACGAGTGTGATGTTCTGCATACATTATCATTGCATGTCTGTAGAGTTACCCAGCCTAATAAGAACATAACATCTCTCTACCTTACCATCGTCATTCATCACTCTTTCACTCCCCAGTCACCGTTCCCCACTGTAGAATAGGAGGTCAGAGCAAACTATAGCTCAGGCCGACCTCTTTACCTTTCTGTAAATAAATTCTCCCTCTATCACTCAGAACTCTTGAAACCAATATTAGGCTAATAAAGTCTCTGGTTCTAGTCGGCACACGGAGACTGACTACAGGTATTATGACTAAAGAAAGAAGGTCGCGAATTCGTGGCACTCTTAAAGCAACTGTCCTCATCAGTCTCATTTCACATGAACGGCACATTTCAAGCTAGCAGTCTATTAAGCTTAGTTAAATTTACGTCTTAAAAAACAGTTCTAAGGGAGCTAGCTGTAGACTATGTACAGGATTCTTGGTTATTTTTCCCTGCACAAGATTTGCCGGCATGGTGGTTTTGTAGCCAAAGGTGACTGCTAAACTAAGATGTCCTCTCAGTTGTGAATGTCAGCGTTACATATTCTGAAAATTACGACAGGTAGTCGTAAAAGTCCCAGGAAATGCAACATGCTTGATATAGAACACAATAAGGCCATATTAAAAAACCGCAACATCGCATCCTTTGCGGCATTGAGGCATCGATTCGCGTAAAGGGAATTACATAGGATGCTCGAAAACCCGTTTTAACTGTGTTGTTTCTTGTCTCCAATACTTTCCAGGTGATTTCTCCGAAAAGGATGCGAATCTGCTAACACACTCAACCACTGCCATTGAAACAGACTCTCGAGACCTGCCTGTACACGTAAACAAATGAATCCTAGAGCCGCAATTAGTCACCTGTGCTGCCCTTCGCAAACCAACGATGTTAATCGTTGGTTCGAACGTTGGGTTCTCACTCTGGAATGTTTGGTTCTGAAATAAAACCGTTCTGACCAGATCCACGACACTCATGAGTATTCATTATTGAATAAGCAGAGCCCACCACTATGGCAGGCATGGACCGTGACATTCTGTAGGTGTTTGATGTTTATTGTAACCTCGTCAAAATACAAATGACGTAGTTCGTAAGTGTTAGAGAATGGGGTCGCAAAAATTACTATCAGTGGAATCTCTTATCAATAATATTGATTAAACCCATGTGTTGGAGGCACGCTCGCACAGTGACCGCGTTCCTACACCATGCAGTAAACTGTAGAGGCATTTCTGTACTTAGCTTACGTGCTTCTGATAAATTATAGTGGTTTGATCGAAGGAAGCAATGCTTGTCTACAGCTTAGTTTTTCTTGACCACTTTATTGGATGAAAACCGTGTTGCTGGGCCGAACGTGAAGTCGACAGGTCTCTGCAAGCTTTGGTAGGCATCATGTGCATCGCCAAGTGCGACGCGAAAAGGTGAATTGTGCGTTTCTTTCTGTCGCTAGATTCACCCATTTATTCATTTCATGCCACTTTGAGATGGTCAGCGCTGTCTCCTAAGAGTACTTAAGGGTGAAGCAATAGGAAAGAAGCCCGGCGGGCTATGGCATCCCCACGCACAGTGATACACCGTTGACGTCGCTCCACCGTAGGGGCAGTATAAGAGATGTTGTGGGGGGCGGAAAAGAATAAGTATGAAAATTTGGCAGATCTCACGTGCCTGGAAATTGACGTTATGCGAAGCACGCAGAGGGAAGGTGACCGTGTTGCAATTTTTTTTGTTGAGCGACGCGTAATAAAATGACGCTAAATATATGTACAAAGGTTGCACGCCCAGACATATGTTGAAGAGTGGCAGAGGTTCATGAAACGAGTTGTTTGCACATTCGCAACGATGCCAACTGGAACATTCGTTTTAGCAACGCCAGAGGCTGCTCTGAAGTGCTCGCGAAGATGCTGGCCCTGGGCACTGCTACATAAATCAACTTCAGCGCATGGCAACTAACCACAACTGACGTTAATTCGACGTGATGGTGTATCAAAGAAGTACATACGTAATGTTTATAAATTTGCGTAGGCAGCTCTGCAACCACTATTGACGTTTCACGAGGATTAGCGTCTATTTGAAAAGTAGTTCCGAGTCATGGCTAGCTCAGTGGTAAAATGCTTCATTGCTACGCAGAATGCTTGGATTCAATTCCAGCTGGGACCTTGACATTTATTCTTTGCACTCGTCGGGTCGACCGATGTCAGGTGTTTCTTTGCGCTCGCGCGTTAAAATTGCCCATGTGTGTTCTCGCCATTTCTGGGTAGATACTAAGTGTCAATCATTGGCACATAACCGCATACCAGCGGCACATACCCATTCGTGGGTACGTGTCACTGTCTGGCAGGAAGTGTTTGACGACGTACGCGACGGGACTGTGAACTTATTCCAGTCTTGACCAGCGCGTCATATTCGTCAAACCATCTTGCCCTCCAACGCTAATTTTGCTTCACGCCAAGTTGAGGGGGTGACCACGAGAGCGCCCAAACGTAAGAGGCTAGATAGGTAGATAGATACGCCCAAAATCACCGAAAGAAATGCTTCGCTAAAAAATGCTTCGCATTTAAAAAAGCAGTGGAATGAATGAAGCTGCCGTCATACAGCGTGGGTTGATCCGGTGGTCATGTTGTATGGCGCAGCCCAATGGAGCCCTGAACTAAGGGCTCCACCAGACAAAGCAGAGCTCTTGTCTTTGTGTGCAAATGAAATGGTTTTCCTCTCTCCCTTCTTTCCTACAGGAAACAGTAATAAACCAGACACGCATCTGGTCAATTCTACCTTGTCTTGCGTCTATATCACCTGTGGACCTTTTTTTTACGGAGAGGAGGACTTCCTCCTTTCTGGGCTGTTACACGAGAGTACGAAAGCCAACGTCACAGCCTCGGCAGTGCGTTTCTTGGGGGGTCATGCGCGCTAACAGCAGCCCAGAAAGGACTATGGTAGCGCCCAGAACGCCTTGAGTGAAAAGGTCTAATAGACCGTCGTTTTGAAGTACAAAGTAGTTGCTGTGGATTCTTGGCGATGCCTTTATTATACTAATACCTATAAATAAAGTTGTTTCGGATTTGTTATGCATTTTACCTGTGGCTTTAAAAACACCATGTAGTTCAAGCTAACAAACCTTCACCACAGAGAAGTTACCTACTACCTCGGAAAAAAAGTATGGCTCTGAAGTACCGTACGCCGTCTTGGCCGCTCGGAGTAATTCTTGTTACTTTAGCCCTTACCAGATTCTTCAGTACCTCAGTGAACTCAATTGCCGGTGTAATTTATGACATCGACATTGCCATTCCTAATGTTGACTTGTCTACCCTCATCAAGCCTGCAAACAAAAGAACTGCCATTATGCAAGTGTATCGCCTTGGAAATACGCGCTGCGTAAAACTGTTTTTCAAGGGAGATCGCATACCGTCCCACATTAAACCTGGACATTTCCGACATCCGGTTCGACCATTCATCCCAAAGCCACTTCAATGTCATCAGTGCTTCAGGCAAGGACACGTCAAAGACATGTGCCCCAACTCACGACTCTGTCCGCGTTGCGTTGAATCTCATGCTGAAGACGCCTGTCGGGCGACTACTCTGAAGTGCGCCAACTGCAGTGATTCTTCACGCTGCCTTGTCGAAAGAGGGTCCTCCAATCCAAAAGGAGCGCGCGGTTCTCAGAGAAATGGCCCGAGACAACTCGACTCAGAGGGAGGCAGCCGAAATAGTCCGGCGTCGACGTCGGGGTCATTGGAAGTCTTCAAAGAAGGCACATTCCCGAAATGCTAGTTCCCACTCTTTAGCTGTTCCAACCAGTAGCGCCGCGAAATGACCCACCACTTCTACGAAAGATGCGGAGAAGCCTCCTTCTCTGAAGGAATGGCCCACGCTCCCGACACGCCCTTCTGCCAAAGAACTTCAGCAGATTGCGGCCACACCAGAGCCGCCTCCGGCCATGGAAGATTTGTCTGAAACAGATCGTCAAGTGATCTCGGTGCTGCGTTCCCCCATAGAAGCCATCCGAGGGATATTAGTCGACATGAAGACAGCATCTGCTCGAAGCGCACTTGGAGTATTGGACGCCATAAGCCCAGTGCTTGAATCTTTCAACTAGAAAAATGGCTACTCACACCTCATGATTTCGTAAAGAAGTCAAGGCTGCGTCCGTCATTCAATGGAACGCTGGAGGACTAATATCCCGCCTTTCAAATTTTCGTCAGTTTGTGTTAACCAACGTGTTTCCACTTGAACCCAATTTGTCGAAACCAATAAGAATTTCGGGGTACGAAGCTACCAGGTCTTCAACAAACGGTGCGTGCAGCAAAATCATCGTCTTTGTTCGTCGTGGATTGACGTATGCTGTGCAACCAATTGCGCCTCACGATGACAATCAGTATGTCTGCATCACTGTGAAAAAGAACAAACTGATGTTTACTCTCATATGCGTTTATATATTGCCGTCGAATATTCTTGATTCCAGGAGATTGGCGGATATTTTGAGAGTGTGTCCTGCACCATGGGTCATCATAGGTGATTTCAATGCGCACCATCACGCATGGGGAAGTACGCGGACAAATGCAAGATGACGGAGGTTAGCAAACATCGCACACGACTATGGTCTTACTCTCCTGAACGACGGTAGCCACACTTTTCTTCGAGGGTTGACATACGGCAGCTGTCTCGACCTTGCTTTTGTCTCCAACTTCCTCGAAAGATACGTCAAGTGGTTTCCAGATGTTAAGACACGAAGAAGTGATCACATTCTAATCTACCTTAACAATAAAGGCTGGTCTAGTTTTGGTCCACGGACGACCATTCAAGCAGTCTGATGGATCAATTTCAAATCTGACATGGAAGATGCTTGCAGCGATGGCCTACGATCTGAGTTAGAGCTAACAATTAAGAGCACAATGCAAAACGCCACTCGCACGGTGACGATATCTTCCACACGAAACGACTTTGACATAGAGTTGGAGTGACTCCGAGCACTTCGACGCCGAGTGGAGCGTCGGTATCAGCGTACAAGATTAATTCACGATCTTCGGTTGGCCAGGAGGATGCAAAAGAAGATTCGGCGTCGCATAGGGAGATTAGCGTCGGAACGATGGACAGCGTTTTGCCAGTGACTAGACCCTCGCAAGCTACTCTCACATATTTGTAAAACGGTGCAAGGTCTGCGTCACCCTACGGAGCAGGATTTTCCATTCAAAGTGCTCACGCTATTTCAAAGGAGGCAAGACATCGATGTCACAGAATATTTCTGTGCGCAGATCGCCAACCAAGTGGCTCGTCCAGATTCGCCAGTGAGAGGTAACGTCCCCCGTTCCAGTGACTACAACATGAACCTCCCTTTTACAATGGAGGAGCTCGAGGTGGCACTAGCTGTCTGCAGGCGTTCAACCTCTCCGTGCCCAGATGGTATTCCGTACCAAGCCTTGTGCAACCTTGGGGAACGTGCAAGGAGAGAACTGTTGAGCCTTTACAACATCTCGTGGCAGGATGGCAATGTTCCTGACGACTGCAAAGTAAGCCGCTTGTTACACATCTTGAAGCAGGGCAAATCCCCACTCGAACTCGCCTCATACCACCCAATAGCACTGGTCAGCTGCGTAGGGAAGATAATGGAACGAATGATACTAGGCCGCCTGGAGTGGTATCTTGAATACTACAAGATTTATCCAAATTCCATGGCTGGTTTCCGACGCAACGGCTTTTCCATTGACAATGTCGTTGATCTAGATTCGTACGTTCAGCACGAAAGATCCCGTAAGTGACTATCTACAGCTTTGTTTCTAGATGTGAAAGGCGCGTATGATAATGTACTACATGAAGCCATGGTGGGTGCTCTTGCGGTGGTTGGCCTTGGTGGTCGAGTCTTTCGGTGGATTTAGAGTTACCTGGCTGCAAGATCATTCTTTGTGTTAACAGAAGATGGGCCAACTACGTGACCCAATACTTCCAGGGGTGTTCCTCAAGGCGGAGTTCTTACCCCAACGCTA